ATTTTCTATTAGAATTAATGAAAATTTTCGTTTAAAGCATTGAATTCTAAAAATTTTTTTTTTTTTAAAACGGGGCGGGGCGGAGACCCCATTACCCGAACCAGACCGGGGCAAAATTCCCCGCTCCGTTACCCGTTTAAGCGGGTTTTCCCGCCTCGTTGGGGGCGGGACCCGCGGATATCGAATTTTTTTGTCATCCCTAACCGCTTCGTCGCCCAGTGAAATGAGGGGGTTTCGGTGCCGGATGAAAGGGGTGGATGAAGCTTCGAAATAGTTAGGGTTATGGCTGGGAAAGGTAGAGAGATTCGAGACTGAGGAGAGAAAGAGTGAAATGGAAAGGATTATATAATTATGGTCTGTATAAAAATGAAATATCTGACTTTTCAAAAGTGAAACTTGATATCTGAAATTTGAAATTGAATATTGAAAATACTGGTTTTGTGTAGTTTTCACATTTAAAATTAACATAATTGAAAATTTTAAATTTTGGTGTCGTTTTAATTAGGCCCATGTTTGAGATCTTTTATTCACACATTCTTCTAATAAAATAATTTTATATGTAAATCTAAAACTTTTTTTTACGCCTATGTTTAACCCCCTTTAAAATAAAATAATTTAATTCTCATACTCATTTTTAATAACGCATTCATACAATAAAATATTTTACTCGTAAATATGAAACTTTTTCACACTTCTTAACCCTTGATGGCCATTATTTACAAAAATAGTGTTTTGAATAGTAATTTTGGGAAATGTACAGTTAAAAAGTAGGAAAAATTTTGGTTAAAAAGTAGGAAATTTTTTTATATTTACATATAGAATACCTTATTGTATAAATGTGTGGTTGGATATGTAGAAAAAAATATTTTAGAGCCCGTTTGGTGCACATTAAAATGAGAGAATGTATTTTTTTAAAGTGATGTGATGGAGAATATGTGGTTGAAAAAGAAGAAAAAGTTATTGATGTAATGTAGAGTATTATTTTATTGAAAAATGTGTGATTGAAAATGAGTAGAAGAATGAAAATGAAAAAATAATGTAGATCAAACAAGGNTGCAATATTTAGTTCTTATTCGGGGTGTGTTTGAGTCACATTATTTTGAGAGAATGTATTTTGGAATAGTAGATTGATAGAGAATGTGTGGTTGAAAAAAAAAAGAAAAGTTATTGATGTGATGAAAAATATTATTTTATTGAAGAATGTGTAGTTGAAAATGAGTAAAAAAATGAGAATGAAAAAAATAATGTGGATCAAACATGGACTTAATAATGTTGTCAAAACATGGGATTAACCATACATTTTTTAAAAATCACTAATCAAAACATCATTTTTGTACAATAATGATCATTAGCACATTTTAATCACACATTATCGAGAAAAACTATTATTACAAAATTTATAGGAAAAAATTCAAAAGTCTGGGATTAACTATACACAATTCAAAAATCATGTTTTAAGTTTGACCAATGCAAAAATCAGGTTTTAGTTAATTAATTAAAATATTTATTAATTAAATATAATAAAATCACAGCTATATAATTAATGGTCACATATACATAATTATAGATCAAATGTCACATATTTTAAAATTAATTGATTACAGATTATTTCGAGATCACATATCAAAAATTTTGTACGTCACAGATTATTTCGAGTTCATAGATTTTTAAATTAGTTGATCACATATTATTTTTGAGTCACCTATTAATAAAAATTTAGATCACAATTGAGTAATTGATCACAAATTACCAAATACTTGGTCATAGACAAATGGCACTATCACTTCCACCACCAGCCATCGCCACTAACCACCACCAACAATAACACACCACCTCCTCACAAAAAAAATCACCATTTTCACCACAAAAATCACATCCACAGCTGCCACAACCACCACACAAAATACCACACATCGCTGTAACCACACCACGACCGTCGCCGCCACCACCACCACACAAAACACCACACCATACCACACCACTCCCACCTGCAGATCCACCCTGCATCAGTCGTCAAGCGTCGCGACGCTATCGCTGCATCAGTCGACACAGCGTTGAGCATCGCGATGCTACCATTCACGACAATGTCGCACCATTCATAGAGAGAGAGAGAGAGGATAGAGAGAGGAGAAGATGAGAGGCGAGAGAGATGGGAGGGGAAGACGTCGAAGGAAAAAGTGTGACAATGCTGTGGATTTGCTTCGGGGTGGCGCGGTGGATTTGCTTCTATGTAATCTCCTCTTCATTGCAGCAACATCGAAGCGCTACGTCGCCGGACCAACGATAGAGATAGAGGAGTGGAGATTTACATGGAAGGGGAAGGGGAAGGGGAGGGGGAGGAGGGAGAGAGGGGTGGGGAAGTTGAGAGTGAGAAATTAAGGTTATGGTATTAATATATTACCTAATTTTTGAATAAATAAATTTTGGACATGATTTTTAAAAAAACTATCTTTAAACTCCAGATTTTTTATAATTTTCCAAATTTATATTGTAGAAAAATGGATCTCAAGCCCACTCAAACATCACGTGATGTCATATCTTTATCTGATTTTAGATAAAGCTGATACCGAATCCAAAGCAAGTCTATTCCCTCCAGCCCCTTTTTTTAATTAAATCCACAATCTGTTGGATTTAAACAATTTAAACTCAAATATCACGTGATGTCATATCTTTAGCTGATTTTAGATAAAGCAAATACCGAATCCAAAGCAAGTCTATTC